TATTCTATTAAATTAATGGTTTATCCATATACATCTCAATTGATACTTGTTTTTTAATCATGACATTTCCACAAATGTTACAACCCTGTTGCGCTTCCGTACTTCTTAGCGTCAACCAAAGTTCAAATATTTAAGCAAATATCATGGGTTTCTGAAGAACATTATTTTTAATTTTTTTACAAGAATGGAAAGCTAAGACCCTAACGAATATAATTTGGATATCTATACATATTTTATATGCTTCAAAAAACATATATGACTTTAAATCTTGAAACCTTCGCTAAAAGACGCACGATTTTCACGTGGATTTCAGCTTCTTATTCTTACACGCAGCAGTGATTGTCTTAAATTTCTAGCCAATATTGTCAGTTTTTTGTAGCAAATTCCCGCTTCAATGCAGCTTTTTCTCGGATTTTCAATACGCACGAGATTTTTGATTATTTTATAACGAAAACAACAAAATTCCCGTTTATGGTAATGTTTTTTCTCCCGCTAAAGAGGGATAATCGCGCTTTAGCGAGATGATCTCGCTAAAGGGGATGTGTTCCCAACCTGTTAAACAGTATACAATCAATCTATCAAGAAAATCAGAAAGTCGGCTTTCAAGTTTTGCAAAGTAACATTTTCAGTGTGTATGGAAAAATAGGCAGGTGAGGTGGGTAGGGGATAGGTTATAGTTAATCTTTAGACACTTGACACTTATTTATAACGTTATTTATATGTTATAAACCCCGGAAACAAAGTAGACAATACAAAAATATATATACTCCTGATATATGTATTCTATTTAATATTTAAGAAGCCATAATATAAATTGAAGTATATCTTGCTGATCAAAAATCCAATGATTATTTAAATTTCCTTCTAGTATATATAATACTCTTTCTTGCATTGTAATTTAATCAAATGACTCATTTGTTATAAATATATTAAACGATTTCTTGATAGTAAAATCATAATAAAGGGGAGTAATCAAATGTTGAACCCACTTTTGATTTGTTAATCTGGATCTTGAATCTCGAAATTCGAATTCCGAATCTCGTTTTTCTGTAATGTTTATATGTCTAAATTAAATCTGTCAATCTGTAATTAACAATTAGAGTGCCAGCATCTGAATGTTTATTTTCAATCAAGCACTGCTCTCTGACATTATCAGTTCTCACGGTAAAGTTCCTCTCCCTAATTTCATCTGTTTTCAATCATTATCATATGCATGGGAATATGTTCAATCTGATGGTCACTTAAAGTCATATACGCTATATGAACGCCGAATTTTGTGTGAAACAAAATGATTAATGATTTAAAACACATGAAGTGTAAGAAAAATAATACTTTCCACAAAATTGTACTACAGATGTCGTTGTAATAACAAAACAATTAAACATATCTAGGAATTAAAAATTCAGTCTTTTCATGAATATTGATGAAGGAAGTGCGTAAACAGTAGGTCTAAATATAGAAACACATGTCCACGGGAAATCACAGACAACGAGGTATGTTGCATTTTGACAACAATTATTAATATTAGGTCAATATGCGTCATAACAGAAAAGATGATTGATACTGAATACATTAAAAGATAAGTACCATTAAGAGAAAGACGCTTGCCATCCACGTCAAAAGTGAGTAGTATCTCAAACGGCCTACCTTGTTTAATTTACGCCACGTGTGTTTATCAATCTAAAAGTAGCGACGGCGTCACGTGATGGATTTATTTAAAAATAGCTATTTTTCTTTCCTTGCAGGATAATAAATAATTATAATTTGATAACTTTATAACGCGTTTAATTTTAATGGTGTAATTTACAGTATTTTCGTAACTTTTATTAATAAACAAATGATATCAATTTCCAATCGTATTTTAACTGGCGCAAGTTATAGCGTGTATACTTTTAATAAATAGTTAGTAAACTAGACAGACGTGTTCTTTTACCTCTCTCTCACAACATTACAATTTCGAATCTCGAATTTCGTATTTCGATCGAACCTCAAATATCGACTAAGCCTTCTGGGCTTTCGTACGTTAAAGTATTAATCTCGCGTTGCAAAAATCGGCACTGCATGATTCTTAGTCATTAAATCATTAAGTTCATAATTTGTGAATTGAACATTATTTGTTACGAGAGTGTTTTGAGTTTGTTGAACAGGTATGCTGATTTATTTTTATGAGTTAATTCTTCTGTTAAAGAGAATCAAGTATTTATGTATCTCTATCGTCTATTCCTCTGTCATTCTGAGATTAGGATATTTTTTTTAAATTATGCATATATTCTTCTCAATTACTGAAATTTGCAGTGATATTGAAGCTTCTTCTTGTTTTATGGATTTGGAGATTACAATAATTAGAATTGGGCTAAAATATTGGGTCTACATTTCTCTTTTGAATATTTAAGAAATAAATTTAATTTTTGAAGATTCATGGGGTTATGAACTACGAAGCTCCACGCCTGCATATTTTATGAAGTGCGTTTCATTTCTTATATTTACATTATTTTTCTGATGACTTGCCATAAATTTACGCCATTCAACGGTCATTTTGAAGCAAAAATCGTTTTGACGTCAAGTGCGGTATTATGAGAAACAAAGGAGATATCCATGCTTAATCGTGGTACATGTGTGATGTAGTTCATGAGAAAAAGAACTGCATTTTATTTTGTAAAGAATCATAGGGTAAATTTAATGGAAGTTTAAATATTTAACGAGGCCCGATCTAGTTGAAAATTACGAACACGGAATTATAAAAAAATTTTGATTATTGGGAATATATTTGTATGTTTTATGCTTAGAAAAATTAGAATGAAATTTTGTTACCTTGCCTTTATTGTAGTCAAATGGGGCCACTGTCAAGATATGGACCATTTGTCGTGTTTTTATACACAATTACAGGCTAAAACTCTTCAATAAACAAAGACATTTAAAAATTTAAAAAAAATACATGATGAAATTTTTTGTTTTTCACATATATCATGCAATTTTCATTCTTCTTATAAAAAATGAAAAGAAAATTGGAGGTAGCCTTTATTGCAGTGAAAAGGGGGCATGTGAAAACACAAAATTTGGTTTTATTCTATCCAACTACGTATCTTATAGGTCGCAATGGGTTTACATAACACCAACAAACGATTGCAATACTGTATTAGTTTCTAACAAATAAATAATTCTTCCATTATGAAATAATTTTCTCGCCATGCGTTATTTTTCTCTTAACACGCGACGTTGTTTTACGTGGAAAAAAGGGGTAGAGGAGGGTTGCACTTAAATGATTTATAAACTTATTTTATTTTTTAAAACTGAAGATAATCCATGCATATTTTAGTCCGCAATAAAAAGAGTGTGTATATATAAACACTTCAACATGTTCAAAGAGAAAGACTAAAATCGTTTACTTTTGGTTGCAGTGTTTGTTTGTTTTTTTAACTCACAAATTGAAATAAAACAAGATAGAATTAATGAATCTGTACCCAAAAAATTGATCCCTCAAAATTAATTAGGTTACAAAGTTGTTTATAAATTTGAATATCAAAAAAAAAAAAATAGGAATGCCAGCTTTCAATGCACAGTCTATAGAGCTACCAGGTAAGCAAGATCAGCGAAACATTTTTGCGCAATTTGACGTCATTTTAATTGTGACGTTATTGTGTTCAATTGTGACGGCAGTCAAGGGTATTGTGACGTGCATGAGTCGACGCTGCGTTAAAACGTATGCGCAGATCAAGTAGATCGGGCCTCGTTAAATGTGAGATATTTAATTATTTTAGATATCTGATGAAGAAGAGTATGGCTTATATTATTCAGATGTATATGGTGGCTTACATAGGTCTCTTGTTTTTACTTAAACAACTAAAACCATCACTTTTATAGACTAAACATGTTTTGGTCCGTAAAAATACAGCTCCCACATTAAAAGAGGTTGCCTTTTTAACAGACATCATCGCTGGATTTTCTGATCTAACTTTGTCTGTAATCTGTCTATCTGTAGACTTTTCACATTTTCGACCTCTTTCTACTAAACCACTGGGTCAATTTTTATTAAACTTGCCACAAAACATCCTTGATTAGCAGAATTCAAGTTTGTTCAAAGAAGGGCCACGCACCCATTCAAGGAGAGATAAATCAAAGATAGTGAAATTTTGGATGCATGTTTTAAAATTCATCTTCTCAATTACTACTTTGCTAGGAAAGATGAAACTAGTGGGGAAATATCCTCATGTAGTGTAAATTCAGGTTTCTTCAAATCATAACCCCCAAGGATAGGGGGCGAAACAGCCGATCAAAGTTGTACATAGAAAAAAAAAGAATAGAATAGCAAAGAAAAGATTGATCATATTTTAGCATTCTCAGGTAGCATAGATTCAAGTTTGTTCATACATGTATCATGATTCCCGGGGATAGTTTGAGGCCACAGTGGCTGATGAAAGTTTCACATAGAAACATAAAGAAAAATTGTTTAAATATCTACTTCTCAAGAATAGCAAAGCTATGATTGGTCAAATTAATATGGAAGCAGCCTCAGGTTGTGTACATTCAAGATTGTTCAAATCATGATCCATGGGGATAGGGAGAGGTGAGGTCACAGTGCTGATCAGTTTTAATTAGAAAAATATTGGAAAATCTTTTTATATATTCTTAAGAACAGCAAAAGCATGATTGGTCAAAGGCAGTGAGTGCAGACTTAACTTTGGTCAAATCATGACCCTGGTTTGATAGGTTGGAGCCATAATGCATGAGCAAAGTTTTACTTAGGAATATATAGGGTTAAAATGAAAGACAGCAAAGCCATGCTTGGTCATATTTTAGTTGGGCAGCTTGGGGTGGGGAGCCACAATGCAAGTTCAAATGTAAATAGCAATAAAGACACAGCTAGTCTAAGAAGGATATGGAGATAACGAAAAGTATTCAATATCAAAGTCCATAAAACAATACAAAATAGGAGCAGAGCAAACACGGACCTCCGAAATCTCAGAGGTGGGATCAGGTGCCATGGAGGGGTGAGCATCCCCTGCTGACCGGTCACACCCGCCGTATGCTCCTTGTCATGAAAGAAATATGCAAGCATGTTGATTCGAGTTTGTTCAAATCATACCCTCTCCCCTTTAATGTATGGTTGGGACCACTTTTGGATTTAAACTTTCCAAAAATAAAATGCTTTCTGCTTTTTTCCTAGCCAAAGTGGTAAGTTGAGCGATGTGACATTTGGGCCTCTTGTTTATGTATTATAGAACTTCAAAAAAGGTTAAACGTTTTATCATGTTTTTCCATAAGTTTATGAGTAAGTAACTAAATATAGAATTACAACTGATTTTTAAAAATTATTTACAGAGAGAGAGATGGCAGCACTATCATTCAGATCTCATACTCAAAGTATGTCATGTATTCAAAGTGATGCTGAACAGTTAAACAATTATAGTGGAAATGACAATCTAACAGAAGTATCAGATATGCATACCAATATACATGTAAGTGAAGAGCCGCATGAAAGTTACATCAGTGGAAAAGATTCGACTCATTCAGATCATTTTCGGAAAGAATTTATGAAACAAAATGGTAAATTTTATAAATGTTCTGTGTGTGAAAAGACATTCCTCCGACCTAGTTCCCTGCAGGAGCACATGAGAGTCCACACTGGTGAAAAACTTTATGAATGTGGTGAATGTAAAAAAACATTCATTAGAACTAGTTACTTAGGGGCACATATGAAAGTACATGATAAATCTGAAAAATGTGATGTGTGTGAGAAAACATTTAGCAGACCCGATTACCTAGAGGAACATATGAGGAGCGTTCGCTGTATCAAAAAGCCTACGGATACACATGAGTAAACATACTGACGAGAAACTGTATAAATGTGACCTGTGTGAGAAGGCATTCAAACAATCTATTACTTTACAGGAACACATGAGGACACATACTGGTGATAAACCTCACAAATGCCTAGTGTGTGGGAAGGCATTCTCTTTATCAGGATCATTTAGGCATCACATGAGGACACATACAGGTGAAAAACTTTAAAAATGTGATGTGTGTGGGAAGCCATTTTCTGAATCATGTAACTTACGGAAGCACATAAAGACACATAGTGTCATGAGAAATGAGAAGCCTTATGAATGCAATTTGTGTTTAAGGATATATTCTGATTTAAGTTCTTTAAAGCAACACATCAAGGTACATACTGATGATAAACCTTACCAATGTGATCTGTGTGAAAGAGCATATTTGAAAAAATCGAATTTGGATATTCATATGAGGAAACACACCGGAGAAAAGCCTTATAAATGTGATGTGTGTGGGAGGACTTTTCCTTTAGCGGGTAGCTTAACCAGACACATGACGACACATACTGGTGAAAAACCTTTTGAATGTGATGTGTGTGGGGAAGCATTTACTGAGTCGCATACGTTACGCAGTCACATGAAGCTACACATCGGTGACAAAAATGATAAATGAGAAGTTACACACAAGTGACAAACGTTGTAAATGTGAAATAACATATAAGTGGCAAACATGATAAATGTGAAGTTACACACAGGTGAACATGATACGTGTGAAGTTACACATAAGTGACAAACATTGTAAATGTGAAGTTAAACACAAATGACAAACATTGTAAATGTGAAGTTACACACAGATGACAAAAATTGTATATGTGAAGTTACACATAAGTGACAAACATTGTAATTGTGAAGTTACACACAGATTGTAAATGTGAAGTTACACACAGATGACAAACATTGTAAATGTGAAATTACACAGAAATGACAAAAATGATCAATATGAAGTTATACACAAGTGTCAAACATTTTAAGTTTGAAGCTACACACAAGTGACACACATTGTAAATGTGAAGTTACACAGTGACAAACATTGTAAATGTGAAGTTACACATAAGTGACAAACATAATAAATGAGAAGTGTGTGTGAAAAGGTGTTTTCTTTGTCAAAACTCTAGAAGAGAAACATGGAGATACATATGAATGTGTAGTATGTGGGATGGTATTCACTGCCCACTTTCATTTTGAAGCTCGGTTACGGATTCCAATACTTACTTCAGCCTATAGAGTTCTAGAGGTTCTGAAAGACGATTCTGACATCACGTTCAATTATACAAATCTATCTTGTGGAATAAACACTAATGTTCTTTCTTCATGTAAACTCCAAAAAGTTTTTTTTTTCTAATAAATTATGAAATCAACAGTCAATGTATAATATAACCTACTACAAATATACTATTTAAATTTATATATTATAGTCCTTTTGGTCTCGCTGCACCGACTATGATGACGTCACGGGCTATTTCGATACGTAGATCGTCTGTTCTTGAGTCGTTGGTGAAACATATAGAGACAACGGGCGGTTTTCAAGATCAAAAGTCCATAAAACAATACAAAACAGGAGCAATGCAAACACGGAATATCATAGTGGAATCAGATGCCTTTAAGACTTATGGTTGCATGTAAATTTGAAAAATAAAATTAAATAAATGTTATGTGACCAAAAAAGAGACATTTTTTGTTGAGTGAATTAATCATTACCTTGTAATATTAATAATTTGAATACGTGTAGACCTCATATAATGTCCATGTAAAGCACAATTATACTGAAACATACATGAATGACAAGGAGAACCCTCAAAATTCGGAGTTTCTATAATCACGGTTATTTTGAAAAGTGCTAGGAACTTGTAGTTTATTCCGAATTTTAAGAGGACAGGGGTCAACAAATTAATCATCAGTTATAAATTATTGTTTAGATTGTATATCGTTTAACGTCCCTCTGGAATATATCTTCACTCATATTATTGTTTAGATATGATATCTTAAACTCTCAACTATCATTTTGCAAAGAAAAAAAATCAGTATATTTAATTTTTAAATTTTCTAATATTTTCAATGAAATCTTCTTAGGAGATCAATATAGTCTTAAAATGGCTACAACTACCCAGTTTATTTATTTCAATGTTTGTCAATCGAGCAAGTTTATTGAAAACATGCTAAATTTAATTTGATGAAGTTGCTCCTAAACAGATCTAGAACACAACTATTTTCATAGAGAAAACTATGCGTTTATTGTTGAATTTTTGTAATCTCTTTAGGCGTTCATATTTTTATGTCACCTTTAAAGAAGAGAGGGCATATTGCTTTGTTGTTGTTATGCCCCTTAGACAAACAAAAATTTCAATTATTTGGGGGAGTGGGAGACAAGTGTTTTGCAAATCTTTTTATATACATATAAATTTAATAGTGCAACTTGACAAACAGCTGATGCAAGTAAAATCGCTCACTCCAAACAGGCAAACACAGAAGAGACCTTATACATACAGACATGTAAATAGATGAATCTGAATTCATCAGTATTGATGCTGTTTAAAATTATATCAAATCCTATACTTGTAGCCATTTTCTACAACTAATTTAAAATGTATTTCCTATGGGCCTCTTTGTCTTAGCTGCCTGAGTAATATATTTTATGGAGCCCCATCAGGAGTGGTTATCCTTGTGAAATATAATCAAAGGCTTTTCCTTAACTAGGAAACATTAAGAAACTCATGAGGAGAAAATGACGAGTGGATGTAAAGTGTATTGGATGGCATTTGCTGAATTGCATATTTTGCAGAGTCTCGTGAGGACAGGTAGAAGTAATTAACCATTGCAAGTAATGAAGTATTTGGGAAAATTATAGACATTAAAATAACGTTCAGAGACACATGATGCCATATACACGAAAAACATCATCTCTATAGTGCGTGTGAGAATATGGCACGCCGATTGGTTCAAAAGTATTTTCTGCACGACCTTAAGCAAAAATTACACGAGCGAGTCAAATCTTTCACAAAGTGCGGAATATACACACAAAGTTACTGAAATTTACACAAACTATGCAAAAACTACACAATCAACAAAATATTTACACGATATAACGAGAAAATTACACAAACGTAAAAACGAAAACTGCATAAGTGAGAATAAAACATCGACATAATATACGACGCATCCTCATTGCGCACATTTCATTAATATTCATTAGAGAACAGATCAGTGTGGCCTGGATGCTTGAAACGTTATAAAACAAGAGGATGAGTAATATGTTAATATGATATTAATCTTTTAAAAAAGATTCAGTCTTTCAGAATTACGCTAGACTCTCAAGAATATGCCTAACGTGTTATATACATGTAAAAATTGACAGGCACACAAAATGCGTATAAATTAACACCCCCAATTAAAATATAGATAACGTTAAAAGGGGGGTGCATATAAACTGTATATTTTCAGTTGGTGTTTAATAGTTAGATTTTTTGTTTCATTCCTCTATATAGCAATATCTTTTGAAAGTTTAAAACAATGATATTATCATAGTAAAGGTAGATAAATAAAAACAGCGTGAGTTAATACAGGAGAGTTAACAACAAAACAAACTCTTCTCCTCCACCACCCACTGTGTGTACTTTGGTAATAATTAAGGATGTGGATGTGTGACCTTTTCACATCGAGAAATTCCTCCATACTTGGATGAAATGAAAGACACGTGTACGCTAATCGATTTATAGTTATTTGACACTTCAATGATACCTTTTGATTGGAGGTTATTAGCAATTCGTACAGAGATTTTGAAGCAATGTTGCTGTCATCTGGGTTGTGGAATTTGCCCAGTGTGAAAAAGTAGTACATGTAGTCTTAAATTTTGAACAACGTGTGGTGATTACATAAATACATGTATCCATGAAAATGTAGAAAAATTATACAGTCGTTTTACTTATTTGAATTTCAACTTAATTTCTGTTTTTCTAGTGTAGATTATTTTGAATAGGTAAAATGCATATTTATAAAGGAGTTATAGACAATTTAAAAAAAATTAATTATAATTTAAAATTATAATATAAAGATACATATGTAGTATCGCTTTCTAAAGGTGGGTGGGGTGCCAAATAACCTTAAAAAACCTAATTAACAAGCAAAAAAGAAAGGTAAAGCGTCCAATCTCGAAAATCCTATACGTTGAGGTAGTGAGGCACCTTCAATTCCAATCCAGCAACAAAATAGGGGGGGGGGCTTTTCAGTGGACATTCTACAATGGAAGTAGGTTCTGTTTGCAAAAAAAAAAAACAAAAAAAAAAAAACAAAAACAAAAAACGTGGGGGGATTCTATAGGCCTAATTGACGATTAATTTCGTTTCATAATAATATAATCATGTTCTTTTTTTATATAATGGCCATATACATGTATTTGGGTAAAAAAAGTAATCTTACAAGAAACTTAGTGTTTAAAAATTTTTTTTTAAAAATCATGAAGTCGAATTTGAAATGTACAGAATAAAGAACATGAATTATTTGCTTTTTTTAAGAGTGATAAAACGCGTTCTATGACACTGCTGTATCCATTCTAATTTTTTTTTATTGCATTCTATTTGTAACATTGTATGTAATATAACTGTACTTAGTAAAGCACACTGTTTTAAAAGTAACAAAACACAAAAGCGCATGTACATAAAACACATAGGGTATATATAATCTCCTTTTATCTGGTCCTTTTTATTAAAATTAAAACATTTATCAATTATCTTGTAATCGTCATTACAAATGAGGGTAACGCTCACAAGAAATGTCTTGTTTTTTATTGAGTAGTTTATAACTGAAAATATGAGATTACATGGAAAAGAATTCATAACAAAGTAGACTAAAGATCTCCAACGAAACTGATATCCTGATATTCTATAAGTATGAATACATGTGTTATTAGAATAAAATATTTTTTTTATGTTTGGCATTAGATGCAGGCGCGGATCCAGATAATTTTTCCAGGGGGGGGGGGGCATCCCAGTCAA